GGCCGCAACCCACGATTTCCTGTCCATTTTTTGCGAAGTACATTTGTAAACATCGAGTTGTCGTTCATGACAGTCGTGCTCGCAAACATAAATTTATAGGCAGATCAGATCGGCTGTTGGGACAGATTCTGCTATGTACATGAGTTGTTTTTTTTTTCATTTTCAAAATAAGACTTTTTCGTATTGTAACAATATATAAAGCAAAGAAGCCATAATGCATTTGAAATAAATCCAATATATATCTATAAACTAAAATAATGCATGAATCTATACTCAATAAAACGTACTTAATTAAAAATAATAGAAATTAAGAAGTTAAACATTAAAAGAATACATCAATATCACATTTCCCTGATCAAAACATTTGTTAAGAACTGAAGTGTCTAAACGATAATTTAAACTGAAAGGTAAATTAAAGTTTTTACTGTTACTGCTAAGTTTTGTAAGGATATTTTTATTCACGTATCATGTAATTAACTTTTTATTGTTAGGTCGCTTAAATTAGCGCGAAAGCCGTAGTGTTTCTCTGAAACCAGTTTTTCTGGAACAGGTTATAGGATAACTGGAATTAAACAGATTTGAAAGGACCGTACAAGTGAACATCTGATTTCATCTCTGGTGCGTCATACATAATAATATGCTCATATTGTGGTTCGGTATTGGTATGGCTTGTTGTATGCTCATATAAGTAATCCATGTTGGTGATGCTTGCATCGTTGTTTTGTACGTCACCAACCGATTGTTCAGACCGTGGTACGGAAATTAATATACCTGATGATTCAGGTTGAAGCTGTGCTCTGCAGGTTTTCGCCTCAACGTAGTTCAGCTGTGTGTTTCCGATTATCTCATATTGACTCTCAGCAGTCATTTGATCAACCTCTATCCCAGCGCTCTCCTGTCTATTGACAAGACTATGTTCCCCTTGTACATTGCTGTAAATGTGCGGCAGATGTTTTTTTTTTTACAAATTTTATTTTCAAATACCCTATTGTATTATAAATAAAACTTGTTAAATGCATTCAAAAAATTGAGTTAGTCTTTCATTATTTTTAATAAAACAACTTATATAATTTTAAAAATATATTTTAAAATCACGTGTAACTCAACATTACATAAACAAATTTTAAAATGTAATACCTTTCTTTCGCCCGATTGCAACAACGCCAATCAACGCTGATATGACTATCGCTGAGGCAGCCAAAAGACGTAAGATAAGTTTTGGCCTTGATCTGTTGATAGAGCACCAATTAGTTCAAATAACACCTGCAATAGTACGTACCTAAGCAGAACAATTTTATTACATATTAAATGATACAGTGCCGTTATAATAACTTAAAGTTAAATTTCAAAATGATATCTACATCTAAAAGGATTTTTACGAAACGAGAAAAAAAATTGAGAAAAAAATTAAACATCTTTAAATTTTAAATATTATCAGGAAGGCCTAATACGTTATATTAGATGAAAGCCTGAGCTAAAGAATAAACCATTTTCAAAAATATATATTCAAACTCGGCATATGAAGGGATACTGTGGTCAGCACTATGCCTAGCCACCTTGTTTTCCCTAACGTGAATCATGTACTCGGAACTTGGATTCAAGAACCTTCAAAAGGCTCGAACCATGATTCTAATCCGAGACTTTTGGCCTAGCCATCGTAAGCTCTACCATGCCGACCCCTCGTGACTTTACAAAAATGAAAATTACAAAACTTACCCTAGATGTATACTCAGGATTAGGTTTGATACAAAAATGAAAAATATACAGACGGTGCGGTACAGACTCCCTCAAGCTATGTAAGGATTCGATGTGACAGACTTGTGTGCACTGCAGTACTAGCCATACTGTACTTTTTATTTCAAAATCGGATTTGCAGATAGTTGGCGATTGCTAAACATGGGTCGCACCATCAATTCATAGTTTCTGACCAGTAGTACAAGATCAGAAGAAAGAACAAGCTGTAAGATATGAGCACCTATCAGCACTTAAACCTGCAGGGGCTACTTCCTGCCGACGAACATTTCTAAGACGATTTACCTCATTTTAAAAACATTTTACTAAATTTAATGTTGTTTCTTCATGCAATTTTTGTATTAAAGAATAAATAAAAAATAAACAAATATTTTTATTATGTTACATTTTTTATGCGCATTGATTTGCTACGTATACAATAATTAAAAATTAATGTATTACGTCTCACTCATAATGATGGACATTAAGGTTTACATTACCCTACAAACACATCATCCACCAAATAAAAAAAAAACACTGTGGTCATAGAAACACGTAATAAAGACAGTAATAATTAATTTTTAACTAACGCTGTAATAAAAGTCATACTATTCATACTAAATCTTCTCTATTCAAAATAAATTTATCTCATAAAGTAAAAAGAAAACTCAAAAAATAAATCTAACATAGAGTGGGGGGTCTGGCTTTGTATCATTTATAAATGACCTTTTATTATCCATTAAAATATTTACCCACATATTCGAAACAAATGTATAAAACATTATGCAACTTTTACAATTCGGTAACATCATTCTACTACTAAACGTTTCTTAAACATACATTTAGTTCTTGTGAAGAGTGCCTGTCTTCAAGTGTGTCGTGGAGATCTATGTAGATTTTTAACTCATCGATTGGTAATATCTGATCTGTCTAGCCATTCTGAATCTATTATTGTATTGACGTCTATCTGTCTTAAGTTCCACATACGTCCATCTGTTTTAATAAAACGTTTTCCATCTGTCTTACTGATGTCAGGTTGACCACCTGTTAATGTCATGTTGTCAATTTAATTTTTAAGTGTCACATTGCCCATCTGTCTTAATTAAACGTTATCCATAATTATGTCTTAAAGTCAAGATGTCCAGTTGTCTTAATGCCATGTTGACCGTTTGTCTTAACGTCGCGTATTTAAATGTCATGTTGGCTAGTCAGCTTTCTTGACTTGTGCATAGAAGCGTCAAAAAGTTATGTATGTTCCACTTATGTTCTGTCATTGGCTGCGTGACGTGATGGAAATGTTTGTGTCACGATCTCAGTGTTTCGTATGGTAATGTTCACACCAGACGTCACTCAGTTCAAGGATCAGACGACAAAGAGAAAAAGAAAAAAATGGCAATTTTTTGGCTAGAAATTAGAGATAAAATATTTTAATCTAAAATTTTTAATCTAATATTTTTCATCTAAAAAATAAAGAGTAATTAGTTCAATTTAGCCATTCTGTTTTGTGTCTATATATGGTGAACTTGATACAAACGCAGTTACAGCACATTTATATTAAATATGGTCGTAGATCGTACCCTTAAACATCGCCTTTAATCTCAGCCTTGACAAAGGTCGCTTTCAAATTTTCTTTCACCCATCTCTTCAGAGGGCCCCCAAATAAAGTTTACTGCCCCCTCCCCCCAAACGAATTATATATTTATTTTAGAAATTATATAATTTTACCAGTGTCCAATAGGATGGGCCTCTTTAGTTGACTGTTGATTGTATAATGAAACAAGCTAAAAACAAGGAAACAAACTTTAAACCAACTGACACAACAGCTCGAAGTCTTTTATTTTAAAGATTTGCGCTGCCTTCTCGCACACAGTCAACAACAAATGCAGAACAAATTGTACTGGTTGAAAAAGTTGTAATAACCGGTTTAATGACGTTCAGATTAGAGTAGAAAGCGATTAAATGCTTTTCAACTTTCTAAAATAACTTGCAATTCAAATTCTTTTTTTTAAATCGTCAATCATGATCTATAGCTGAAGGTGAAGTCTCTTTTACTGTATGGCTCGGAGCTAGCTGGTTACAGACAGTGAATGAAATAAGAGCAACAAAAAAAGTGGTGGTTAGGGCACAAAGTCAGAAAGACAGTAAATAATATCCCTAAGCAGGTGCTGGTGTAAAGTCGACGGAGAGAAAGGAAAAGAAGGAAACCGAATAAGTCGTGAAGAAAATCGTTTGAAATAGAACTGGTGGAGGTTGGATTATTAGGGTTTGATCTTCATAAAAATTAAGTTAGCTGACGAAATGTTGCCTACGCCTAAGCTCCTTAGGAAGCCAAAACGAATAAGAGCAGAAAATCAAAAGAGTTTAGCAGTCGTCGTGTTGTACCAGTTTTACCTCGCTTAGAATGTCTTCCGACCTTAACAATATGAAAATTGCAGAATTTGGGCTTATTATGAAACAACCAATACAATTCTGATCTATTCTGTGCAACATACTTGTTATTTTCTAGTAAACATTTATATTAATTTAATTTTATATATATAGAAAGCTGTGTTCTATTTTTCTTAGCCAATGAATATCGCCCTCCACCCACGCACCCGCTCCGACCATATGCTATTTTACTGATCAGATAGCGATAGGAGAATCGTGATGTTTAGTTATCTTTTATACAGTGGATCTAGGTAAGATGTAATGCAATGAAGTAAAAGTTGAAGTTGGGAAAATTGAAACTTTTAACTAATAAGAAGTAGTTGTGTTATTTGTTAACAAAACCTGCAAGTGAAATCGTACTTGTTAATGCGATCGGTTTCTATTCTAAGTGTTAAACGATTTATCTACTAACTAAATGCGCCCCACCATAACTTTTTTTTTCTTTTTTTTTACTGTTACGTAATACGTTTAATACAATTGGTTTCTATTCTAAGTGTTAAACTATTTATCTCACGGTTCCAGTGTAAATCCTTCCGATATTATTCGTCAAAAAAAGCTCCCCCCCCTCCCCATCTTGGATAAAGTTGGAAAGCTGTTTTTGCAGGTCACTGTTTTTTAAATCTATTTACTTTACAGTTACGCAATCAAGTTAGGATGCAGTTAAAACAGTATGAAAAGGCTATTAGCCGTTCAATTTATTAACTTTGTTTAGAATTAAAAACTTTAGCTTGAGCTTTTACTTTTTTTCTACCCTTTTTCACAATACATTACAATAAATCCTAAGATATTCTTAGAGAGAAAGTAAAACAAATGACAGATTAATAAAAATAAAGATTGTGTTTTTCTTTTTAGTTTATTACTTTAAAAGCCATTATTATTTTGTACATATCATGCACATTTTTGACATGGTTCAAACCGTTTTAAAAACTAAAACTTCTGCCTTTTCTAAATAAGAGTTTGAAAAAAGTTATTTATGACACACAAGTTAAGATTTAACGTGTAAGTATCTTGAGTAGAGAGCAGAGTTATGTGTTGAGATATTAAGTTCCTTTTAAGAAATAATTGTAGCAATTTGAAGGTTATCAAACCATGCATCCTGGGTAAGGTCTTTTTTGCCAATGAGTGGGGTTACAATTTGAGCAATTTGGAGAGCAGTTCCAATGTAGTTAGACCATGCTTCTTGGGTTAGTTCTTTTTTATTGCCAGTCAGAAGAGGTCCAACAATGCCTGTAACTTGAAGAACCGTTCCAAGGATATCAGTCCATCCTTCTTGGGATAGTTCTTTCTTACCAATCAGTGGGGTCACAATTTGAGCAACTTCGAGGGCTGTTGTAATGTAGTCAGTCCAGGCTTCTTGTGAGAGCTCTTTCTTTCCAATGAGAAGTGGTCCAATATATCGACCAGTTACAAGGGGTGGTATAAAGATGTCGTCTATGTATCTGCGCTTTTGATTTTGAATAAGAAGAGGTGCAATAACTTGAGCAACTTGAAGGGCTGGTCCTATGTAGTCGGTCCATGCTTCTTGCGTTAGTTCTTTCTTGCCAAGCAGAAAAGGCGCAACACTGGTTGCAATTTGGAGAGCTTGGCCAATAAAATCGGTCCATCCTTCTTCAGTAAGATCTTTTTTCCCAAGTAATGGAGCATTAGCAGTTGCGAATTGAAGGGCTGATCCAATAAATTCAAGCCATGCTTCTTCAGAAATTTCTCTCTTGCCAATTAAAGACGCAGCAGCCTGAGCGATTTGGAGCGCTGGTCCAATGTAGTCGGTCCACGCTTCTTCTGACTTGATGGTGATGGTGACTGTACCAGAGATATCTTCCATGTTATCTCTTTTCTGTTTGACATTTATTCAAAAATTTAATTAAAATTGATGTTATATATTGTAGCAATTTTAAAAAAAAATCATATCGATGTATCTGTATCGTAACCGTTTACTTAAATGTAAAAAAACTCGTCTAGAATAATGCATGCTAAACCAAGATATATAATTTGTCTAGTTAATATTTTAAAGCGAACAAAACCAGTTTACACTTGACTGCCAGCTATCAAACGATCGCTAGCATTCAATCTCGTTATCTCCCCTTAGTTTCTAAATTGATTAATTTTTATGACAGATTTAACATGTAATATCTGGAAAGTTTAAACGAAATCGCTGCATTGGAAGTGGGTCAAATGGAGTTACACGATTTGACCCAAATCCACTAATGCACACTGTGAACTAAGATAAAGCTTGAAACAAGGAAATGTGTTTGAATCGGAATAGATTTTATATGTATAAACTTATCGATTACAGTTAGTGTGGTTGAGGGTGTTGTTTTGCTGTACCCCGTACTACCCTGATTCTATTTAAAACGTTATACGTTGTTGTCGAAAATGCATCATTTATATCAGGGGTCTCCAAACTACGGCCCGCGAGGTCCTCTCTTCCGGCCCGCGGGGATCTTTATGTTCACGGAAAAATTAACGTTTGTTAGAGGTGGCTGAGGAACTTTTACCAGGAAATTCAAAACAATTTGAAAATGCAGCTTTGGCTGCAAATACTTTTGCCCGCCGTGATGCAGAAATTGGTGAAGATGGTGAATTCCATAAAGTCACATGGGCTCAACCATAGATAGTTCAGAGACATGTTGAAAGATACAAACAAGGAATCGCAAGATTTACTATATTACACAATAGTAAGATGGCTAAGTTGTGAGAAAAGTTCGGAGCCGAGTATTTTAGTTAAGAAAGGAAATAGGCGACGTCCTGGAAAGTAAAGGCAAGTTACAGGCATTAATGTCTGATGAAGAGTGGGTATAGAAATTGGCCTATGCTGCAGACATAACTAGTCTAAAAGACTACAGGAGAACGAAATCTAGTTTCTGATATATAGGCCTACACCGATTTAAAGCCCTTAGATCCAAAACTTGTCATGTTTTTGGAAGTAGTACAAGCCATCAACTTGACGCACTTTCAGCAATACAAGGTCTTCATGGCTAAAGCAACAGCTGAGTTCACCACGTTATTTCCATGCGAGATCAACACAGACCTCCAGCTTCAGTTTCAGTAGAGGTTTTCTGGCTTGGATTCAAAGGCAGAAGAAGTGAGAATGTATCAAAATACATTTGAAGCAAATGTGCCCAGTTGAACTATAGCTGGAGATCATAGAGTTGCAAGCAAATGACCTCCTTAGAGACAAGTTCAAAGAAGGGCGGGTGGGTTTTTATAAGTTTTTGCTCAAGAAAGACTTTCCTAATATTAAACTAGCATCAAAGTACCTTTTAAAGTTTGGAACAACATACCGGTGTGAACAAACATTTTCAAGAATGGAATATGTGAAGAACACTTTGAGAACAAACTTGGACCTCGAGTGTTTTGTCGGGCCCCGACAGTGTTTCTTTCAGACTTTTTTCTCCAAGACGGGACGATGGGGGACACTTGAAATTTTTATATATTTCTATATAAATTATATTTAGTAGAGGGGGAGGGGCGCTAGACGTTCTTCTGGGATGGGGGGCGAGACTTTTTTCTGGGGGGGGGGGGGGGGCTCCACCTTCCCAAACAGACGCCTGGAAAAAAATCTGGCCCCCGAACTGATATTTAATAGTTAATGCGGCCCTCGGGCTGAAAAGTTTGGAGACCCCTGATTTATACTAGTAATAAAACAGATAGTATTAGTTACCTCACAAGTTAAAGACAGTTACAAGTACTATGGACGTTTCGACCCAAGGTCTTCGTCAGCACACAACAATGTGATTACAGATTAGACAAATAAAGACAAACAGTAACACATTTTTTGACTTAGCTCGACAGTGAAAACACGTCTTGTCTGCTAGCCACGATATCCAAGAGAAAAGACGCGTGAGAAGGACGCTTGGACACCGTATAGGGGTGGGGTTGGGGGGCGTGGTGTATTCGGGAGGGGGGGGGGGTTGTTAGGTGAAAGATATCTGTTCATTCAAGCCATCGGGTGCCCGTGTACCAAATTTAAGTATTAGTCGCGTTTCAGTGCTAAGGCGATTTTTAAAATTGTGGCAAAACCGAACGGCGGTTACACAAAAGTCCTTTTTTAAGTCATGCCCACTCTTGTTGAAGTGTTTGGCCACAGGAAGACCGTCTTCATTGTTGATTGATCGCAGGTGTTGGCTGACCCTGTCAGACAATCTTTTCCCCGTTTGTCCGATATAAAAGATGTTGCAACGCCTGCACTGGATGACGTAAACTACGTTGCGGGACTCACAGTTGAAGTGATTTTTAATTTTGAGGGTTCCCTTCGGCAGCTGCAGTGATTCAACCTGAAGGGTGAAATGACAGGTATTGCATTTACGGGGACAAGGAGTGGTGCCAAAACCGGTGTTGGTAGTGGGTGGCAGGCGGCTGCGAACTAAAAGGTCTCTAAGGTTGCGTTCCCTTCTATACACAACCAAAGGATTCTGTTGAAATAAATGGCCTAAATGGGGGTCTGACTTGAGGATAGAATAATTTTTTATAATGATATTTTTAGCCAAAACTGAATGAGGATGGTAGGGTAAGATGAGTTTAGTTCTATCTGACTTTTGTTTTGGAAATTGTTGAAGGGAGGCTTGGTGGTCAACAGTTGTTATGCGGTGTAGTGCTGACTGGAGTATATGCTCCGGGTATGACCGGAGTCGGAAGAACTGTAGTAGCTCATGGGCCTTGATCCAAAAGTCGTCATCATCTTGACAAATACGTCGCAGTCTTAATAATTGTGAGAATGGTATAGAATTTTTGCAGGCCGGGGGGTGTGACGAAGAGTAAAGCAGATATGAATGTGAATCGGTTGGTTTGTAATATACAGTCGTCCCAACGTTGGTTGTGTTAAGGACGGTCTTCCTGTGGCCAAACACTTCAACAAGAGTGGGCATGACTTAAAAAAGGACTTTTGTGTAACCGCCGTTCGGTTTTGCCACAATTTTAAAAATCGCCTTAGCACTGAAACGCGACTAATACTTAAATTTGGTACACGGGCATCCGATGGCTTGAATGAACATATATCTTTCACCTAACAACCCCCCCCCCTCCCGCATACACCACGCCCCCCAACCCCACCCCTATACGGTGTCCAAGCGTCCTTCTCACGCGTCTTTTCTTTTGGATATCGTGGCTAGCAGACAAGACGTGTTTTCACTGTCGAGCTAAGTCAAAAAATGTGTTACTGTTTGTCTTTATTTGTCTAATCTGTAATCACATTGTTGTGTGCTGACGAAGACCTTGGGTCGAAACGTCCATAGTACTTGTAACTGTCTTTAAGTTGTGAGGTAACTAATACTATCTGTTTTATTACTAATTACATTAACCTCACTGCAGCTACCATTTGTTTTTTTTATCTGATTTATACTAAAAGGTCATAATAGATGTTTTTAACGCATTGTAAATGTCACTAGTATTTTAAATAGTTTTTTTACCTGCTCTTCTTGAGATCTGATGTTGATGGTGATGCTACCACTAATGTCCTGTCCATCTCTCTTCTGCGGGAGGAATAAAAAAATATTGATATAATATATATGTGGTGACCAGCGGCAACTGTATGAAGGCTTAAATGTATACGGTATACGGTATACGGTATACGGTAACTTGTAATATAAATATATATGCGATTTATATATGCAATAAAATACACACACACACACACACACACATATATATATATATATATATATATATATATATATATATATATATATATATAGATATATATATATATATATATATATATATATATATATATATATATATATATATATATATATATATATTTATATATATATATATATTTCTGAGTTAATTTCTTACAGAGAACGACGCGGGAAGGAAGGATTTGGTGCTCCATTCTTCTAGCGACTTGATGGTGATGGTGATGGTACCTGAGATCTCCTCTTCACTTCTCTACGGGCGTAGTGTACATATTTCGTGAGGGGGTATAGAGAATAATACATGTGTCTTAAATACTTGATATGTTTACTGATAAGCATTTATAAAATGGTAGGTTATGTATACATCATTTAACACCAGTTTAGATATCGTTTCGTGTTTGTCAACAATCTAAATCAACTGCCGCTTTAATGTTGGCCAGTTTGTAAATACCTGCACTTCATCAGCCCTGAAGGTTACTGTGATGGTACCAGAGATGTCCTCCTGTGTTGGAAACAATACCTTTATTTTTTTTATTCATTTAGAAATACGGTGTAGTTCTGTCTTTGTTTTGTCGTGTGTGTTTGTGCGTACTTGTGAATGTTTCTCAATGTGTGTATTTGTGGTCATCTGTATGTTTCTTAGTGTGTAAGTGTATGCTTGTGTTCGATTTTGTGTTTGTACATATTTAGAATTTAATATTTTTTAGTAATAAACGAAAAAGTTGCATAAATACACGTCTAATATAAGTTGCAAAAAAAACCGGATACAATTAATGTTAATTTTATCATTTTCAATACATAGCAAGTTTTATCTAATGAGACATGGTACTTTTTTATCTTAGCATAGATATTTAACCGTGACGTAGACCATTCATCTAGATAAGTCATACTACATTGACATAGCACAAATATATAAAAATGTATATGGAGTGGAAACATATTTTATTTGTAATGTAAGTTGAATCTACATAGCCTGACAGTAAACTTTGAAGTTTTGTCCTTACATAATCTGTCAGTAAACTTTGAACTTTTGTCTACCTAATCTGTCAGTAAATTTTCAACTTTTTTACTTACATAATCTGTCAGTAAACTTTGAACTCTTTTCCTTACATAATCTTTCAGTAAACTTTGAACTTTTGTCCTTACATAATCTGTCAGTAAACTTTGAACTTTTGTCCTTACATAATCTGTCAGTAAACTTTGAACTTTTGTCTACCTAATCTGTCAGTAAATTTTCAACTTTTTTCCTTACATAATCTTTCAGTAAACTTTGAACTTTTGTCCTTACATAATCTGTCAGTAAACTTTGAACTTTTGTCCTTACATAATCTGTCAGTAAACTTTGAACTTTTGTCCTTACATAATCTGTCAGTAAATTTTGAACTTTTGTCCTTACATAATCTGTCAGTAAACTTTGAACTTTTGTCCTTACATAATCTGTCAGTAAACTTTGAACTTTTGTCTACCTAATCTATCAGTAAATTTTCAACTTTTTTCCTTACATAATCTTTCAGTAAACTATGAACTTTTGGCCTTAAATAATTTGTCAGTAGATTTTAAAGTTTAGTCCTTACATAATCTGTCAGTAAAATTATGCAAACTTATGGTTACCGGAATGTGGGCCTCCTCAGATCGGATGGTGATGGTGATGGTACCGGAAATGTCCTCTTGGACGGGCATGCCAGTGGTGGCGCCCGCAATGAGCAATGTCAGGAGGGCGGGGACTAACATTGTGACTGCTCAAAGCAGTTCAATTAGACAAAAGATGTAGTAATAGCTATTTACACGTAGTCAACATTAATATTCATAGTAACACGCGAGTAGGCACCAGTAGTAGTCATAGTTACATACAAGTGGACTATAATAATAGTCAAAATATACATGCAACTATATAACAGCAATAATAGCTGCATTCTGAATAGACAAGTTATTGTTATTGTTTCATCCACGTAGGCATAGACGTTAGTCATAGTTGACTTATTGTTGACTAATAGCCATTTGTCTAATTGTTTCATCTAAATTGTGTCATTAAATCTGTCAAATGAAGCTAACAATACTGCATTTGTTATTGAAGCTATCATACATTTATTCGCTACATAAATTTGAAATGTTTAACTAATTTTAAGCCATGCAGTTATATAAGACAAATGATCTCACCACTGAAAGCTGATTCTACAATGTTAAACATTAAGGCGATGTAGCGAAGATTATACTAGAATTTTTAAAAGGAAATTTTTTTGAAGTCACGAATAATTAGATTACACAAAAACACAACAATAAAATACAACGTTAACTGGGTCAGTAGAGGTCAAAAAGTGTGGCAGTTTGTGATCCAGTTAAAAGACATAAAAAGTAATTGTCAGTGCTTCTGTACTGTTTAATTAGCGTATTTTAGTGGAATTGCAACACAGCAACACTTCATGACCCCTTCCCACACTATATGACACCCACATCGCTCACACACAACACTTGCACTATAAACACAATCAGAGTTTCTTCCGGGCAGTTTCGTTTCTTATTTCGTTTCTTCTGTTTCTTCCGCCCCCCCCCCCATCTCGAAGAGAGTCTAACGCCCCCCCCCCCCATCCCGAAGAGAGTCTAACGCCCCCCCCCCCCCGAACGAGATGGCGTTTATATAGTAAACATTTACTTTTACTAGTTCTCCCCCCCCCCCCCGAAAATATCAAGTGCAACCCCGAAGAAAAAAGTCTGAAAGAAACACTGAACACAATACACTCAAACTACAACCACATCAATCTCTCACTAATATTAAATAAAGCGGGAGTGATCTCCCCTAACCAGAGGCGTAGCGACGGGGGGGGGGGGGGGCGGGGGGGACATATGTCCCCTGGCGCCGACCTTAAGGGGGGGGGGGGGGGCGCCAAATTGAAAGTTTGAGGGGGGGTGCAAATGAAAAGTTTGAGTGGGGGTGGGGGTGCAAATGAAAAGTTCAAGAGGGGGGGGGTGCAAATCGGGAAGGGTCGCTACGCCTCTGCCCCTAACCTTTCTCTATATAACACGTAAAGGGGGATGTCACTGTGGCATATATATATATATATATATATATATATATATATATATATATATATATATATATATATATATATTACAAACAGGTTTGGCTGCTAGATGACAGGTGGTTAATCCGTTCTTTTGTTTATTTAACTTTAAATCCTAGTCCTAATCTTTTTAACAAAGTAACAACGGGCAACTATTGTTTAAATACATGTACGATTATCTGTATGAAATCGGTCGGTTAATCATATCTTTTGTTATAATCCTTTAAACTACCCACATGTATGTGAACATTTGTTGGACAGCCCAGACAGAGATCTGTTTCTTATTGATCAAATGTGCTGAATTGGAAACTGTAAGCCTCTGAAATAGAGGCGTGGTTGGAGTAGTGTTCGAGGGAGGGTTTAGTCAAATAGTTAAAAGATGGGATTAGCGATCAGTTGACTTTTTAAAAAAAATTACAAGTCATAACGTGTTAAATACAATTGATATAAACTTCAAGATCCTAATATCGCCAAAGATTTTTAACAAATAATTACTGACTGATAGATTTTAATTAGGGGCGGTGTGGAATAGCGTCAGAGCGCTAGACTGCTATCCTGAAAGTCTTGAGTTCGAATCCGGGTTAAAGTCAGTGGACCTTTCCTTAGTCTACTCAGTACTGATGGATTCCTAACTCACGCTAGGGTAAGTAAAGGTGGCTAAGCATAATGCTGACAACAAGTAACAGATACAGGTTGTAAGGAACTTTACATAAATTTTAATTTAAGTCAAGTAAATCTCGGGATAGCTATACTTTCTTATTATTTTGTACAGCCCCCCCCCCCCCACCATTTTGCTCCACCATTGACAACGCCTCTGCTCTTCCATCATAATTAAAATAAAAAATGAGTCAAAATGTGTTGCAACGGTCAAATCAGTCTTTTAGTTTGATCGTTGCAGTTGTCTTCTACAATGTACAGTTACAACAGTTAAATCTATATTTCCCAATACTGAAAAATTGATTTAAAATGTACACCGACATTTTGTTTGGCTTAACGGTGCTGCTGTTATGCTGGCCAACAGGTCAGATTCATTTCAGATTTTTATCACCTTATGAAAAAATAACATAACACATTCGATTAATAATTGTGATTACATTTATTGTTGTTTTTTTTTTTATTTTTTTTTTTTGCTATTTATTTTAAAATGTATCAATATATTTATCGTAAGTAAAATATAAATGTGATTGTTATTTCAGGATTCAGTTATAAAAAAAGTAATAAACCTCAGAGGCCGAGTGATCAGCTTGTCAGCCCTAGTGTGGTTGAGACTGGAGGAACTTTTACTGTGACATGTGACGCGTCACGTGCTGGTACTCCAGCACATTTTACAACGGTAGAAGGTTTGGTTATTGTAAGGACAGTATGGACAGACACTGAACAGTTAGCAGAGTACTGGGTTGATGATCAATACACAAAAATAGTAAGTATTTGATTTTTAGGTCTCACGTTTAGAAATATCACGCAGCGTATGACGTTAATTAAAGTCGCATTCAGTGTTTCTTCCAGACTTTTTTCTCCGGGTGGGGGGGGGGGGGCACTTGAAAATTTCGGGGGGGGGGGGGGGCGATAGACTTATTTAGAGGGGGGGGGGCGGACACTGTTAAAAGTATATATTTTCTATATACATTTTATTTCGTTCAGGGGGGGAGACTTTCTTCGGGGGGGGGGGGGGGGGAACAACCCCCTCCCCCCCCCTCGAAGAGATGCCTGGAAGAAACTCATTTTGAACGGCTAAATCCTGAAAAATAATACAAGGAATTAACAACTATTTCTAACTTCTAAATGTAGACTTATATTATACTTTCATTATTGCTAGTTCCATTAACCTCTTCTTATGAGATTTGGCCGGCCAAAGTATACTACTGGTCAAACGTCAGATATCAGGACGGCCAAAAGTATACAACTGGTCAAATGTCAGAGGTCAGGATGCCCAAAAGTATATTACTGGTTTACAAGGATTAATGAATAACACCATAGAACAAAATCTGAGCGGAACTTGTTATGAGCAGTCATCCTTAGAAATAGAAAAAGCAATTACTTCGCATATTATAATAAGAGATGTATGGATTTTCTTCGGACCCTGGGAAATTATAATTAATTCATGCAATTCATTCAGGTCGGGGTATTGCACCCCCTTTTTCCTTACTCCGTAGTTATGCCTAAAATTACATCATCAGCTTCCAAACTTCATTCATGCCGATTTATCTGCTTTCGTTCGAGAACATCCTTTTAGCTTCACATTTTAAAGCCATATACTTTGACATCATTTGTCCATGGTATCATTGGACTTTATATATTTTGTCCGGATATCTTTTATCCTGAGATATTCTGTCCTGAGATCATTTGTCTGTGAGAAATTTGTCTGGGATTTTTATTTCTTAGATCATTTCTCCTAATATGATTTGTAATGGAAACATACAAACATATACATATATATTAAATGCTATTAATAACACAAATGTAATTTTACTTTTGCTTGTAGACTCCGCCAAAGACTGTACCCGCAAGAAACTGGACATTTTATTTAAATGGAAGCTTACAAGGAACATCAAATAAACCAAAGAACAGGAACACGATGAAAATGGAAATGGTGGTCAGAGATGCTAAATGTGAGGATGCTGGCTTGTATTATTGTTGGTCGTGGCAAACGGAAACCGACTACTTTGATATTAAAAATACACAAGAATTCTACCAGAATCTCACTATTAGAGGTGTGTGATGATCGGCATCTTTTTTATATTAAAAAACAAAAAATTTACTAAATTTGATATAACAGTCTATAGCATGTGAGTTGTTTTTGACTCTGTTAACGTAGTAAAATGTCATGAGTTTTTCAAATTTTATTTAAATCTCAATTTAATTTTGATTTTAATTAAATGCAAAACCTACCAACAGATACTGTAAAAATGTAAAAAAAAATGTGAACGCTGTAAAAATCAGTAGATGTACGATAACGGATAAGTGTGTTTGTTTAAATTAGAAGTACGTAGATATTAAATTGGTAAACCATTAAAATAAGATAATAAAATAAAACAAATGAAGTAAGATTGCCCAATAATCTTTAAATTTTAAACAGCTGGAACAGTAACGTCGATGTATTTAAATCCCTGGAATAATACTGGACTAGGTCCATTTGAGTCAGTCCATCGTCCAGGGTCTAAAGTTGAAATAATCTGCAGCGTTGAAGTAAGCTACGTCAGATTTTATCGGTTGTGTAAAAATTTAAAATATAATCTAATGTATAAACTAAATTAATTTTAAGCAATAATAATACATTTGTATTTTTGAATTGTGTGAATTAGATTATATAAACTGGTTGTTATTTAATAGCAAAATATAGAATTTATAGATGACTGTTCTAGACACAAAACAAAATCACAAATCAAGTTCGTGTCTAATGCATATCTGGATAAGAGCATTTTTCTTTTTTTGTTTTGCCTATTGTTTGCAGGGTCCAAACAACGTAACCTTTCAATGGAAGTTTGGCAGCAAATTAAATAATTTAAATAGCTTTATGCCATATCCTGCACCAAATACAACATCTGAGATGGTTGATTTAGGCCCAATGTGTGTTCGATACCGTCATACGTCAACACTGAAGTTTCAAACAGAATACAAGTATGATGGCTACATGTTTGTCTGTGTGGCTACAGCCAACAGCAGAGACACATT